AGATTACAGGAAGATGGGAGAAAGCAGGGGCAGTGGATTACAGGATGGTTAACATGATTAACCAGAGTGGTCACCTCAAGATGGAGGGGTGTGAAAGAGCCATGTCAAAGGTGTGTTAACCTAGATGCGAGACGGACAGGGCTGGCTTCAGGCAAAGATAAGCCTTTCACTGAAGAAGTTACAGGCCTGGGACTGACTACCCTCCGTGGCTGCCCAGTGAGGAACTTATGGTCAGATCATCCAGTGAAGTTATTTTCCATAGAATCCCTTTTTTGTCCACAGGATCCACCCCTCCCTCCCGCCTTCCTCCGCCCACCCCCTGCCCCCTTTCCCTTCTAAACCCACATGGCTCTCTCTGAGCAGTTGTAAACAAACTAACAAAACTCCAAGGTCAAAACATCTGTAAGCCCGGAAGAGAAAAGGGTAGGGCAAGAAACTAAGCAGATAGCCTTTCGGACAGGTTTCCAACCTCAACTGCATATTAGAAACAGCTGGGAGCTTTAACAAGCAAATCCCAGGCTCTGCCCCACAGAGAGGCCTGCTAGGTCTGGGTCGGGGCTGGCTTGATGTGGTTTTAAAAGCTTCCCAGGTGATTCTAGTGTTGGGTTGGCAATCCTGGCTCAGGGTCTGTCCTCAGCCTAAAACTCTGTTATTTTACTTGACTTTTTCTATGCTTCCAGATAGTCTTCAAATTAGAGATCTGTGTGTCATCAAATTCAATGTTTACTTCCTTGGTGAAAGTAAATCAACTTTCCCCAACCTAATATTATTAACTAGTTCCTCACACTCAATTGAATTTTAAGTCAATGAAGACAGTTCAAGAATGTTAGGGGAGGTACCGGGGTTGGATGTATCCCAGTCACAATTTTAGAGTCTAGGACAGACTATTACATCTGAACCTCCATTCATTGAGCAGCCAAAGTTGGGAATCACTGATCTAGGGGGAGAAAGTCACAAAGAAATAGATTGTGTAAGAAAGGAGATGGGAAGATATTGTTGTAGAGGAAAAACTTTTCCTCTGCCCTCTTAGGTTAAGTAATTGGGGGGCTACAAATTAAACAGACAGAAAACCAGATTAGCAAGAGAGACGACAGGTTTTAATCAGGTACAAATGGAAATTCAGAAAAAGAATGTGACTCGAGGAAGTAGTTAGATCTGGGGGCTTATATACCATCTTGATAGAGGAAGGGGTAAGACATCATGACAATTTCTGTTTAGGAGTGATGCCATGAGGATTTCCAGTTTCTGGTGATGGAGTTCATCTTCCCTGCTTGCCTCTGGGGAGGAATTTATAACAACTGCATTTGAA